ACAATCTTACAACCCTGGGGTGCTGGGGTGAGGTTTCTTGAGGTTGTTGTTGCGCTTGCAATCAGGGAGTTTGAGCACAGGCGTCCCAAGCTCACGTCTCGCGAAAGACGAAAGATGAATTCTCGGACACATATGTATTTATTCATGAAAGCGTCACAGGTTGTGTTACGCGGTGTTAGATTACGCGAGGAACCGTTGACTTAATACGTTATAAGAAATAGTTTGAAACATTTGTGGATTTTTAACGCTAAATATTCCGAAATGTGAACATTTTACACTCCTTGTATGTCCAATGCGGTTTCTGGTGATTTCTGCCATGAGACGGCTAGGAAATGTACAAAGTTTTAAAACATACGTGTTTCGCTTTTGAGCTTTTTGCCATGAAAGCAACCCCGGCTAGGCGGATTACCCCACCTTGAGACGTTTACATGGAAAATTGTCACCCCGGCTGACCGAGTAACCCGACCTGGCAGACCGGGCAACCCGCCTCAGCGGGTCACCCCACCTATCATGTAAACGTGATCAAGATAAAATAAGAAATTATATGGACAGGCGGGTTACCCCACCTAGGCGGGTTACCTCACCTACCTGAGGTCCCCCACCTTCATATAAATAGGCCCTTAATTCATAAGAAATAACTGTTGAAGCAATTTTTAAATCGGACGGCGAGTAATTAAGATGAAATAATAAATAAGCTCAAGTCTTTGATCAAATTCAAGTATTAAACTAGCCTCTGACGGGAGCCTCTGAATATCTAACAAAAAAATACCAGATGATATCAAAATGCGGTAAGAACTATAAAATGGCGCACAAGGTGAAGCCTAATGAATCACTCATGTTCTTACCATAATTCAATTTCATCTGTGGTCTATTACAGAACAGACACACGGCAACCTGGAATCTACTTGTTTTAAATGAAAAAAAAAAAAAAACCTAAACGTTGTTGGCGGTGACGTCATCTGTGTCTGCCCCCAAAAATTTATGGGTAAGACCCGATCAAAATGCGGAAATAATTCAGATCTGATTATTATACAAAATTACAGATATCTCTGAAAATTAGATACATATTTAATATACAACTTAACCTTTGCTTGTGCAAGTCTTTGAACAACTTTTTTAACTCGTCTCTACTTCAACAGTTACCTTTCAAACAATCTGATTGGACTCATCCCAGAAAATACTTTCAAAGGATTGAAATCACTCAAGAAGTTGTAAGTATGATATGACACCTAACGATCAACATAGACAAACACTCGCGCACGTATTTATTCATTTGTTTACACACTCGTCCATCTCCCCGTAACTCAATACTGATTGGTTCATTTGTACGCCCGTCGCTGGTCGATTTTCCAGTTCATCTCCCCATTTGCTCATTCGTTCGTTCGTTCGTTCGTGCGTTCGTGCGTTCGTGCGTTCGTGTGTTCGTTTGTTCGTTCGTTTGTTCGTTCGTTCGGTGATACGATCGTTTACTCGTTCGTTCCTTTGTTCGTTCGTTCGGTGATGCGATCGTTCGCTCGTTCTTCTACTCGTTCGTTCGTTCGGTGATACGATAATTCGCTCGTTCGTTCGTTTGTCCGTTCTCTCGTTCGCTCGTTGATTCATGCATTCGATCATTCCTCCAACCAAGTTCTAAGTAAGTCGATAAGTCAGTCATCTTGACAGTGAGTCAGTGAATAGAACCAGATGGTTAATTTTGTAAAAAGTGGGATTGTATGATACAACTGATCATTGAAAACCCACAAAAATGCCTGAAGCTATTATTTTTTCTAGGTTTTTAGATCACAATAAAATAGAAATCATTACGGAGGAGGCACTCAATGGACTCATACAACTGCAGTATCTGTAAGTTTCTACCAAATAATGCGCAGATATTGTCAACTTATTTACTTCACCGTTATTGAAATATTATGGATATATCAAGCAATAAGGGTCTTCACAGCGAATCCCTGATAACGAGGTTCTTCTTACTCATCACGCCCATGTAATGACACGACGTTCCATTTTTATTCCATCATCATTTATCGCCTAAAGGGGGAAGGGAAGGGAAGGGGAGTCTGACGATTTTGGCCGTAATAAGATATACCTGAACCTACCCCTGAGGCTCTGTGATATTCTTCTTATTCCCTTTATTGGCAGTTAATCGCTAGTTATTTCTTCTTTAGTTCCCACTCTATACTCTGATTAGGACGACTGACCTCCCCCTCCCTCCTTCTTATTATCCCCCAACCCCCCCCCCATTGGTCCCTAAGAAAGACCTATACAGGGGGGTACGATTCCTTGGCCTAACCCTTACACTCCTGCGCGAAATACACGTAAGTAATTTCTCCTAACAGTACAAATAAACCAAGGAGATATCGTTTGATTTGACAACAAATTCGCAGAGCTGAAATCGTAAGAGATGTTTAGCAGACAGCTAGTGCAGAGAAGTGATATCTGGATCCAAAGGGTAGAGGGATTAAATTCCTCTTGTATCTCTCTGTTAAATTGGATGTGAACATTAATTCTCCCTACTATCTGCCATACAATCCTTATAATGTTGGTTCGGAGAATTGACTGGCTTTGGGTCAACTTATAATCTCTGAGGTTTCTCATCACTTGTTTGCTTGATATTGTATTGACGGTATGCGCAGAAATTTTTGTAGGGGCAAATTCTATCTTGGTCACTCACGGGTGCTAAGGGTTAAGTTCTCTTGTGTCACAGGCAAGGATAAGGACGATCAAATGCAATTCATGAAATTTTTCATGTTCATCACCCAGGACTTTGGCCTACAATAATCTCAAGAAGTGGCATGGTACTCTCTTCAAAATTCTTCCAAAACTTGAGTTCCTTGACGTCACAGGAAACGGGCACTTCAACATAATGAAAAACAAGTTGCTACTGACCGACTCCTCCCTTAAGACAATCGTTGGTGCTACAACATCAAAAGACTGTAGACGGTGCAATTTCACCAGAACCGATGTCCCGCGAAGTTTGCTGACGAAAACCAAAGGCTGTGAATTCATACCTCCATATAACATGCCAAAAATAGATCACTTCCAGAAGAAATACTTATATTTTAACGGAGCTTGCGAGGGTAAATCTTGCCCGTTAAATCTTGTGCCTATGTGGATAGTACGGAAAACTCATAAAAATTTTTGTTATGACAAGGCGCGGTCGCTTAGGGCGATTGAATATTTTCTAGGCGTGGTTGCATTGTTGTTCAATTTGGTTATCATAGCAACAATACTCAGTAGCATCTCTTTGATCAAGAAGACTTCAATGTTTCTTACAGCGCACTTGGCGCTCGGCGATCTGTTCCTGAGTTTGTTCTCCTTAACGATAGCTGCTGGTCACGGGATAAAGTCCGATGCTGGGATTCGCCAATGGAGACAGCACCAATGTCCTTACTTCCGTTCTTTGATGATAATAGGACAAACGATCGAAGCGTTAACTTCGGTCTTGATGACTGTGGAGCGGTATCTTGCCATAGTATACTGCATGCGACCTAATTTACGAATCACTCCCAAAGTAGCTGGCTTCCTATGCGTTCTCATTTGGTTTTTTTGCGCGATGTCTTGCTTCGTTATTGAGTATTTTGATCATGTCTGGTTTCGAGACAATTACATGTGCGTTTTAGTGCAAAATCTGCAAACAACGAAACGCTTTATGGCCACCCAGGTACTAATGTTACTATTTGTGGCTTTGTATCTTGCAGTTGTTGGTTTGTACCTTCACATATTCATCTCCGCGCGAAAGTCGGCTCGCGGCGCTGGAATTCGACGCGAAACATCTCTTGCTAAACGAATCTGTGTCATAGTGTTTTCTAACATGATATTCTATGCAGTGCCCAATCTTTGCATAGTGATATTTGCCTTAGCAAATACCAGACTGGCAACTGACCGAGCGGTAAATTTTATATTGCGTATATGGTTGCCTCCAATGTGTATGATAACGAACGCCTGTCTAAATCCGTTTCTATTTGCCTTCAGAAACGAAGAATTCTTAAGACATCTTAAACAAAGAGCAACGAACATCATTTCAGGACTATACTTGACAAAACAGCTTCCCTTTTCAAAACGTCTCGGGAAAAGAGGAGTGTATGTTGTTAATTGCGATCAATCTTCTTCACAAGGAACTCTTAATGGGTCCTTTGAGCTACACACAACATAAAACGTATATGACTGCTATTCAAATTTTTTTTAATATTTCAGGGGAATGTTGTAATTAAGTGTTAAGACTTCAGATAAGTCAGCATCTATATCTCAGTACATCAGTGGCGATTTTTCTTGGTTTTGTATTTCATTGGTCTGGTGGGTGCCCCGAGTTGCCCTGAGTTGCCCTCACCTATCGTAGATGTCGGTCGAGCAAAAGCAATGAAATACCTGGATTACTTTCGCCATGTGACTGGTTGAATAGAGGGACGTTAGAGCAGTTTTCAATTGACTGTCGAAAATCCAAAACCAAAGCACTCTTAACGGCCAATCATAACAAAGGTTTATGTCATCATTAGCCAATGAACATTCAAAGTAAACAGGTCACCTATCAAAAACGCGGGAAAACGAGGAAAAACGCGGGCAACCAAGTCATGATTGGTTTACGTTTTGCGTCTGAATGGTTTAGAAGATAGCGGGAGTTTGAAGAGAAATAACAGACTGAAGCAATGAAATCCAATCCCGGATTTCTTTCGATACTCAATTAGAAATTGCTCTATATAAACCAATCATCGATCGATGTAAGGCAAAACTAATCCAAATCCGAATTACTTTTGCCACTGATTTGAAAAAATTTTCTTATTCCTTAACAATAACTAGGGAAGACTAGTTTGTTTATGTCGTCAGTAAAAGTTTTCGAAGTCCTTTGCACTTCTTTCTTTGAGTTCTCCAATCGAAGAATAAAAGAGAGCGCACAATCACTAAAATAAATTGCGGTGGGCGGCTGGGCGGAAGTTTACTGTTATCTACTTTACAAATATCATCAGAGTAAACATTTTAAAATTGAGAATGATTATTTTATTCGCTGTAGTAAAAAAATTATACCTGCCGAAATTATTGTTTTATAAATTGTTAAATGTTTAAAACACCACCTGTCTGTCTGCTACATTAAAACAATGGATATGCCACTGAGTCAGTCTTTCTCACGCAGTGATATATCAAAACGACAAAGAATTTATTGACAACCCACCTAAGACAGATAGCATAATTAGTCTGAACAAAAATAGTGATGCATACCGAGCAAATCACACGCCGAAGTATGGTTGTTTCACTTACGAACACACCTAAATAAAAGTGGATTATAGAACTGATCCAAGCTGAAATTCTACATCCACTCGGGTGAAATTGATCTCGATTAAAATTAATGGCATTAATTTCCCAGGTTTGTGAATTAAATGACTACGGACACTGAATGTTTTAACTGAGGCTTGTAACAAATGCAACTACTTTTATTCTAAACATTTAAATTTACGATTGAAACCGTTGCTCACTGTTATCTTAATAAGCACAGTGTTTATTTTGGACCTCTCTGACTATTTGGATTGCCAAACAATTAGGATGCCACTGGCTCGTAATCATAACAGCATTATGCAAATTCGTGACGAACGTATCTAAACCAACGGTTTTCAACCTTAGCGAAAATACACAGTAAATCAGACACAAGCCACTCGCTGCAACTGCAAGCCAAATCAATCAAGACCATATGGCCGTTAACGTAATAAGCAGAGTGTTAATTTTGAACCTCTCTGGCTATTTGGACTGCCACTGGCTCGAAATCACAACAAAATTATGCAAACTTGTGACGAACGCATCTAAACCAACAAATTTTAATCTTAGCGAAAATACACAGTAAATCAGACACAAGCCGCTACTAGTCGAATCAATCAAGACCATATGGCCGTTTGGATCATCCTTTAAAAATAAGTTGTTTAGGTAATGAAATGATAGCACCCGCGAGATTTACAGAGGGTCTGCAAGCGGGGGTGCTGATGTCGGTTTTCGGTTAGAATTTCAGTACTTTACCGGTGTTCGGTTAAAATTTTCGGTCTTTGTCAATAGTCGACAAATCTTAGTAAATGACTTTAAATTCTAGTTAATTTTTCAAAGTCATTCGGCTCGCGCAGCGCACGCTGTTCTAGAAATTAGCCCGACTGGTACTTGGCCATAAAGTAAGTTTGATAACAGGAAATTCTGGATGTTAAATTTAAAGTGGCTACCTTCTAAACTTTAGAATGATCTTATTTTTGAATACAAATATCGCTGATATTAGACCATGTAAGTTATTGTTAAGTATTTACTTGTCGCTTGTCGAAGTTTTTAGAGAGTTTTGTCGGTTGTCAGTTATATTTTTCGCCCTTTGTCGCTAATCGGTTAACCCTATTCAGAGATCTCTTCGCATATTATTCGTTCGGGTTGTTATTTACAAGACTTCGAATAGTCTCTTGTTTAAACAGTAATTCATAGCTATTCTGTACCTGGATTAGCAGCTTCTGCTCCCTCTCGACTGTCTGACATCGATATGTTTTCGAAAGTTTTTGAGAGATCTTGCCGAACCTCTTTAGGAGGAGGAAGAAAGACAAGAACACCTACAACAGGATCGTGATCCAACAAATCTGTCGCTTTGGTTTCTTCAGTTGCTTCACTTGCTTTGGTTGTTCCGGTTGCCCCGCTTGCGGTTGCATCGGTCTTCTTCGTTATTTCACTAGCTAGTGATTTGTGGACTGTTTTGTAGTCTTCTTTAGTTAGGTCACTGCTTTTATCATTCTCATTTCCGAACACGAAGGCTCTTGTCCAAGAGACTTTGATGACAGCCTTGTCCGGGTACCAAAGAAAGTTATCCTTGTTCGGTATAAATCTGGCCGATTTTTCCTGCTTCTCTTTAGACCGAGGGGATGATTCAAAAGATGCGATGACCACTTCGTCAGGGAGTTCGACTTCTTGAGTATCAAAATTGAAATCCCCACCGACGATGTAAGAGCGTATACGTCGTAATTTAATCACCTTATCAAGAAACTCCGCGAGACTCTGGAAAATCTCAGATCTTTCCTTTTTGGTTTTACCGATGTAGGGTCCGTGAAACGAAACTGCCAGAATACTCTCGTTACGTTCCTGCCCAAGAGGCGTCAGTTTGACCATCGAAATTCTAGACAGCAGCTCGCTTGCATGGCCTTTCTTATCCGACAATTCAGTTAATTCAGGGTTATCGGTCTCTAATCCCTCGGATGAGCCGTCAAAATGGTTGCTATCCCACATCACAGCTGCTTCAGGTTTGTTTTCTCTGTATTCGTACCCCTTTGGAACAACTTTTGTCTTAAATTTTCCTGGTAGTTCTTGGCAGAAAATTATTGCAGTTAAGGCGGAACGCAAAATAACTGACAACAGATCCCTCCGTTTCTGTGCACTTCCCTTTACATGGTGGTTACTACTCATGTTTATGGTCATGATAAAGTACGATGGATTCTCCGATGTTTTCAGACGTCCTTGTAGGGTCGATTCCTTTATGTTTCTCACGATCTCTTCTGCATTTTCACCTTCTTCAATCTGTTGCATAAGGTTGTCAAACACTCCTTCATATATCGTTGGATTTTCCATTTCTCTCGATATTTCTTTGCAGTCACAGTTTTCGAATTAAAGGCGCAGCTTCTCACTTAGAATCAGCCACTCTTGTTTGCGATCTCTTTCACGTTCAGACAAGAACTGGTATCCGCGGGCATTTGGGGTATATTAAACTTTGCTGGGCAAAGCGACAATGACTGGGAGATTGAAAAGTCTCCACATGACTACTTTCTCGATGCATATGTTATAAATTACTCACCAACAACAACCTCACTGAAGATTAGTACTTTTACATCACGCAGTGATGACGTAAGAGTTATTGGATTTTTCAAAACGCGCTTACCCCTGTGTCAGCCTGCTCCTGTAGTATGACATATTTCGCGTAATCACTTGAATTTTGGGGGGTAGTAGAGAGGTTGCTTTAGTCATGTTCGATCGGTTTTTTCGCTAGACGCGTACAGGATAGTTTGTAGCCCTGTGAATGCAGTAGTTGGTTTATACCTACGCATATTCATATTTATCTCCGCGCTTATGTTGGTTCTCAGCGCCGGAAATCTCTTTATGGTGATATTTTCCCCTAGTGAAAAAAAGACTGGCATGTGATCGTGCGGGAAACTTCATAATGCTTTACGGTTCCCTCTAACATACAAAAATTGGTGTTGGCGCACAGCAGGGAGCTCTCGGATGCGCCGCGGGAGTTCGATGAGCGCCTCACTCAACCTTATTTCTTTTTATCCACTGATTTTCTTGACTCTTGAGACGGACTTCACCGAAAGAGACGGACTGCTCGTAGTCTAATGTCTTCCTTAACCATCTACACCCTAACATCGGTATGCATATTCTCCATACTGTTCTCTATACATTTCCTGAAGCGCTGACGAGGAGAATTGGTTTAAAAATCAAGAGCTTTATAAGTTTAATTTCAAGTTATTGGAGAGTTTTAACTAGCTCTGAAGCGCATTTATTGGTTTAGGTTCGGTCGTCATGGTGATGCTAGTCTGAAGACAAAAATGGCCTCTTTTGAGTTAAGTTTCGTGGAAAAATCGAAAGAACTCTTTAAGAATATTTTAGCTTCTTTAAACTGCTCAGTGCAGTATAAGAGAACATCGCTTGCATTATGTGTGAAGAATCTGGCTGGAACGTATTGATTTTTCTTGAAATATTACTCGCATTGCATCTCTTATCACGTTTGAAAAATTCGTTAAAGGATACGGCCAATCTCATATGCAACCAGCTCCTTGCTTCTTTATACCAGCAAAGTTCGACACAAGCTCTGGCTCCTGAAAAGGAGAGAATAATTTTTGGTGCGAGGTAATTTATCACTGTTAAGGTCTAAATGTATTGATCAAATGGACTTAATTTGTCATTTAGCTGGGAACAAAAATTGTGATAATGAAGGAAATTTGAAGTTGTGGAAGAACTGAAAATGAACAATAAGGAGCTAATGCAAAGCGGCTACCAATTAAGCTTCAATTGATGATGATAACGATGAATTTATCTCGCGTATTCTTCATTTTAATGTGCTGTTATGCGCTTTTCAGCACTTTTCGGGGAAGTTTTCGGGCAAACTGCATCGAGCAGTTTACAACTTTTGAAAGAGAATTTCAGTTCAGTTCAGTTCAAGTTTCTCGGTTTACATTTGAGTCAAGAGACCCTGGGTTATGTTTTCCGAAGTATCCTAAATTTCAGCGGGAGATCCTATTTCAACTCAACTTTGTTTACAATCGCACTTCAGGAGAGTTTATCTGTGCATTTTGTTTGCTTTAAAATATGTAAGCTGTAGCTTGGCTATAATCAGATCAAGTTTGTTTGGTTTACATTTAGGTCGAAAGACTTTCCAAAATTCCTTTACACCTGGGTTACGGTTTCCAAAATGTCAAACTGGAATATAAAATCCCATGAGTTATTGAGAAAAATGTATAAAGCAAAGCAAAGCCAGGACCGAAAAAGGTTAAAACTTGTGAATGTTCTGATAACAAAAGAAACGTCGTGCTGAGAGTGACAAGGGTTAGTCGTTTGCCCATCCTTCAAACAAGTGCGTCGGAAAAACATGCTTTTTTTCTTTTTTTCTTTTTGGTTTATTACATACATGTAATTGTCTATTGAGAACATTCTCGTAGAGGCTCACTGGAAAAAATATTATTGGGAAAGTACTACTTTCCCGCGAATTTCCATTTTGCCTGTTGTGAAAGCCAGGGGTTCTACTATTTTGTTGGTTGGTGGTTTACAGCGTGAGCCTGGTGTTGACATAACTGTCCGAAAAGGTGTAAAATATTTAGAAGACCAAAACAGGCGATACGGCCGAGACAAAATGCCTCCTCTTCTCTGTAGAATTCTCAAATTGCGTGAAAGTTCCTCCGAACGATAAGGAACAAAAAGGTGTTCGCGTAAATATTTTCCTTTTGGCGGCCTCAAAAAGTTATCCGTTTGCAAATGTTTCAATTTATACTGGACTTTGACAGGTCTACGGGTACCAACAGCTCTCTCTTACCGAAAATGACTTTCATACTAAAAATGACCAAATTTACAATATTTTCAAGTGCAAAAGGAAAATACTTTTCACTGCACAAAGTATCGTTCATTTTAGGTGGAAATTGTAGATACATCTTTAATCTCTAAAACATTGTGCGTTGATTTACAGGTAAGCACTTCTAAAACTCAGAAAACTGAGTTTTACGAAGCCTAGTAGGCCAATTTTGGCTCATATGGCGTTAACGAAGAAACGTTAGAACTTCAAGGGAAGTAATGTGTGTGAGAGAGAGGCCAATGATCTGTTTCGCAATGACCATGCGGATAGCAAGTTTTCCTGAAATCAGCAGGAGGTTGTTCATCCGTTGTTACTGGAAAACACTAGTCAAATTTTCCACTTATCCCGACCCCCCTTGAATGAGTACTTTTGCTTAAAGACAGAACTACAACGGAGTCTCTTAACCAGTCCCAAGCCGCGTGTTGCTCGATAGATCACAAGATATGATTGGGCACTGTATCTCATTACGTCAGAGGACATATCAACAATAAGGGGGCATAAGTAAAACGGTACAACATCCCTCCTGTTTTCAACCCGACCCAAACCTCCCTCTTGTTTTCTACCCGACCCAAACCTCTCTCCTGTTTTCTACCCAACCCAAACCTCTTTCCTGTTTTCGACCCGAGTCAAACCTCCTTCCCGTTTTCTACCCGACCCAAACCTACCTGAAACAGAGCAACAAGAAAGGAAAACAAACCAGCAGACACACCAACCAAAAAGAAAAATATACAATCCTAACTCAGGGCTTCAAACAACCGCTAATAAGACAATTAAACTCAAAAATACTATTACGAACGACAGATGAGTGAATAGACTTGGTTAGATGATAAATTTTTTATGGTAATCTTTTTTTCTTTTTTTAAATATTCTTTGCAGGCGGGATGGAGGCAGGACTTGTCTTGTCTGCTGTCATTTCTCTTTTGATGTTGCTTCAATTCATGAAATGCCATCGGTTAGTTTTCATCTTAATTTGGAAACGCTGAAGCTTCTCCTGAGTCAGTCATCGTGTTTTCAATTTTTTTATTATTATCCAGAGAACGCAAATTTGGGTCATTTCACGTTGTTGTTCTGCAGATTTACGCCAAGAAATTTGCAAAGATTTTTTACCCACGGGCACAGCCGTTGTTCTGCTTATTAAACGTTTTTGTGTCGTGTCGTTCCCGTCGCCGTCGCTGTCGTTGTCGTGGTTTTCTTAAACTCCCTATTCAAAAGTGCGCTCTATTTTTTTTGTTACTGGTCGTTTCCAGGACCATTCGTACCCAGTCGGTTGAGTTGTTTCGCACCCTTACTAAAAAGTATGTTTTCCATGTTAAGTATGTTAAACGTAAGGTTGATTTGTTACGTTACATAGGAATAGCTAGGTAAGTTTATTTGTACTGAAAACCAGTTCAGATTTTTAGGTTGAGAAGGCGACTTTTCATTTCCATACAAGTCCTTATATTTCGCCCACTGCACAAAGTCAACATGTTTGCATATTAACGGTGGCTGTTTGGAAACTTAAGCTGCTTTTGCCCAAACTGGGTACGAACTGTCCGAATCTAGTTACGAAACGACCGTTGGTACGAAAGGACTGGATACCATATTTTGAATGAAATTGTGATCATGGTAAAGAAAATAATAACGATGATGATAATGATGATAACAATAATTAAAAATGATGATACTTCTAATGATATAAAGGATGATGAAGATACAGATAACCTTTATGATTCGATTTAGCGCCTTCATTCCATTAAGCGTCTCGTCCAGCTTGTGAGCGCCCCCTCGATTCTGTTTTTGGTAATAATCGCCAGCGCCCCTACTGAGTAAGCACCCCCATACCGAAAACACACTCTGTTAGAATGTGCGGACATTGAGATCAACCGTAGTTCATCTTTCTTCAATTGTTCACTTAACCCTTTAACCCCTGAGAGTGACTAACATCTAATTTGATGATAATTTGATGACGATAGCTCGAGATCGATCTATAGAATCAACCAGTAGAAATTACAAGCGGAGATGAAACAGCGATACAACGAACTGTCCCGTGATATTAGCGAGTTAAGCAGTTCCCAGGCGAGAATTTGATTGTCGAAAAAGGAAAGTTGTTTTGCAGTGAATGTAGAGAAATCATTTCCTCCAAGAAAAGTGTTCTGAAAATCCATATTTCGTCCAAGAAGCATCAAAACGGGAAAGAGAAGTTGAAAAAGTCGAAATTGAAAGACCAGACCATAATCGAGGCATTCAGAGGAGAAGGAAGTCCAAAAGATAGCACGTTGCACGTGGAAGAATGTGCCTACAGACTCGAAGTTGTCAGTGAGTTTTTGAAGGCGGGTATCCCGATCGGTAAAATAGACATGCTACGGTCAGCTGTGTTGGAGAAGAACAGCTATAACTTCAAGCAATACTTTCTGACCCACAGGCGTCTAATGAACTTGAAGCTTGAGCTTGCCGGTACTATTGATGTTGGCGAACATTTTGTGAAAGCCACGTATTTTTTGGAAGGGGATGGTCCTTTGGTTTTTGCTTGTTATGAGAAACTAAGCACCGTTTCCCAACTTTGTCAAGCTCCTTGTTTCCTTAACGTCTGTGCAATTGCAGCTGCAATTTCGGAGGAAGACCCATGTCAGAACGTAACAGCACTTGAACGGAGTGCGAAGGCTTGTGTTGAGCCGGCAATTACGTGGTTTCTGAGAAAGTTCAATGTCGATCTTTATGATGTAGTGGAAGCATTCAAGGCTGCCAGAATATTCTGCCCTGTTAGGATCGAGTGGCTTAAGCCCACAAATGCATTAGTAGGGTCTCTGGGAGCATTTCCTTTCCTGGATAGTAATACTACCATCGACGGTCTCAGAGCCGAGCTTCCTGCCTATTTGGCTGCCGCTGAAGATGTAGTTATCCCGACTGACGAGAAAAAAGTCGAATGTCTCATTATTTTGAGAATCGAGCATAACTTGAGATTTTTTTTTGGCGTAAAGCGGAATTTCTAGGAGCATAAAATGCCAGTTTTAGTAGCATAATCGGGAAAGGCCTAAAAGTGACAACGCATAAGAGGAAAAAATTCGGGAATTTTTCAACCGACCGCTTAATACAGGTTCGACTATTAATTCCGAATTAGCCAATGAGCCCACGCGAAGAGCTCTATTCACCTGTGTAGTATGTACTAAAAACCGCTATAAGGTGGGTAGATGGAATAGAGTTATGAAGCACGAAGAGAAAATCTAGGAAGACGAAAGAAGCCTAAGTTCAGCAATTACTCAGGGAAATTCTTATCTTTACCTTCTGAAACCGTAGCACTAAGATTCCAAGAAGACGTCCAGTAACCACGTAGCCGTTTGCACTCCCAGCCCGAAGGGATAAACGGAACCTCGACCCACCCTTCCCCCCTTCCCATGGATCTTTTTTTTAAAATGATTGTAATATATGCTATTGTCAGTAGAGATGTTCTGCTGAAACATTTACGTTGTCGCAGTTTTTTAGATGAGGGGTGAAGTTAAAATATCAGGGCTTACTGACTTTTCGGATCCGGGACAAGGCACTAATGAGGGAAGGAAATTTATCCCTGCTCGCCTTGACGTCGGTGGATATCTCGTAAGATATATATATATATATATTTTTTTTTTTTGCGTGAGCTTCATTAAGCATCTCAGATTGAACATAAAAGGAATGCGTAGCGTCAACGCTCTCCCCAGGCCCGTCTCTCCCAGATTAATCCTTGCCTCCAAGATTTTTCCACGGCTTGTTTTTCCCTAAAAGGTCTCATTCCAAATTCGAGTTGAAAATGCCACCCTCTTAAACCGTGGAAAAAAAATTAATATTTTCTACACTCGAGGAACCACAGACCTAGGGTACCTCCCATGATGAGAAAGGGAATTTCATTTCACATCTTGCATGTCACCCAGTCGTGGTTTGTATCTCGTTTAATAACTCTATCCAAGAAAATGGGCAAAAGTTGTGCGAATTAGACATAGGTGTGCTCACTACTTCAAACGACAAGATGTGACAAAACATCATATCTGTCACATAACGTGCTAAAGGAGTGCGTCGCGTGACATCCTAAGAAACGGCTGTCAATGATCGATAGTAGCAGTTATAGAGTCAGAAAATGTCAAATTTTATCTCTCATTCAATAAACTTATTGAAAGAAATGGGCAAAAGTTATTAAGCGAATAAGACATAGGCGCGCTCACTACTTCAAACGACAAGAAATGACTTATGCAAGTTGATGCAGAAATTTTCTTCCCTTTGTTATTGATTTCCTCTTCCATTCTAACAAAATACCAAGCGACTTGTTTCATTGTTTGACATTCAAATGTTAGTTTATTATACTTAGATAATAAGTTCACAATCTAATCGGAGAAACTAAATAAAATCGTTTGCCTCCAACTTTCCAGCTCGTTCTGAGCTTCCTTCAATGCTTTGTAGGCCAGTAACTAAAATTATAAAATAAAACTTCTCGTTTTGCCTTTGGGCGATTAGATTAAACAATATACTTAAATGCATCATTCTTCTTGTAAAAAAGAACACTATTTATCGCATTCAAAATTAAAGGAGAAATCTCCGAAAATTAACTAATACCAAGACTAAATCCTGGCCATTACGACCAAAATCTGTCATTTTAAGTCCAGATAAACCAAATTCTGTTCGGCAGAAACTAACTTTAAGTATCAGTGACTGGGTACAAATCCTCGAAAAGTTAATCACAATTTCCATCTGACGTAAACTAAGATAATCGAGCAATCGGACAATTGATTATTCTCCAATTTCCATGGAAATTCTCCACACATGCATATGGCTATAACAGCTTTATATTACTTATGAGAAAAAAACCGATTGAGAAAAAGTCTAAAAAAATCTCTGGAAAACGTTTTCAAGACGTTTCACCTTCGACGTCAATGCAACGTCCAAATCCACCTTGTAGATTAGATTAAAAATTAAATTTTTACACGGCTACTCATGATAATTTCAAGACATCATTTGAAAAAAAAACCAGTAGTTTCAGCAAAACATCAAAGATCAAGCTCTTAAGAGCAGTTCAGACAAGCAAAAAGTCAACTTTTGAATCAAAGGAAGTCCGTTCTCTTGTTAAACTTGACTTTGGCCGTCTTTTGGTTCTTCCTGCTTTGAAAAGAAGACTCTTGAGAAAGATTTCATAAGTAGCTTACTGGTTTCTGGTCCAAATATCAGCTTTTGCAGGTATCCGAAAACACCCTGGGATTCCAATGCTCACTGCCTTAACTGAAGAATAAAAAAAGCTAAGTTTAGGGAGGATGGTTGAATTTCCACGAAATATTTCCCAGCACATGCGGAAAAGATACATAGCACAACAGGATTATTTTTAAATAAATTTGCTTTTTTACTCCTATCATGTTCCCTAACAAGAATATCATCATCGTAAACCTGTCCACTAGATTGTACTGCATCTCAATTTGCTGGAGCAAAAACTAAATTCGTAACTCAACTGAAAGGAAAATAATACGCAAGTATCACTGCTCATACATAAGCTATAATTATGATTTAAGATAACTTTGTATTGAATAGAATGTAGAAACAAAATATTTACTTGTTTCGGCCACTAATATCCTTGAAATCCAGGTTGACGTCATCACCAATGAGTACAAATGGTGCCCAGTAAATCACCTCCTTGAACTTTTCAATTTCTCTCATACACTTCATGGCGTGATTGAGAGCTTCACTTGCCTTCTTGCCTTTGGAAAGTGCATCGTAGAAGAAAGTCATGAACTCCAGGGTTCCCTCGTCGCCAATCGCCCACAAGGTTACCACAACAGATCTAGCACCGGCAGCCAAAAGTGCACGCGCCATGCCGACCACACCCTCTGCCATGACTTCCCCACGAGCAGTGTGACAGCAGCTAAGTACAACCAGACGTGCTCGTAACCCAGCTTCTATGACATCTTTCATCGTCAGTAGATAGTCTTTCTCTTGCGGCTGAGGGTTTTCTCTTGTGGTGTTTGGTGCCAGGATAACTTCTCCAGTTTCCAGTTTACCGTGTGCTGCAATGTGAACTAAGGCCACTGATGATATTCGTTTTAACACTTCATGTTTAGTTGCCATTTCTCCAATCAGGGGGGAAACATTAAGGACACGTCCGATCATCTCCACTTCTTCCCTTGCTCCTGGAAGTTGCACTAAAAGTCCTCCCTCATAGATGATATGTTTGAAACATGGGTCGCCGACAAGCAATGCACCAGTCTTCGTGTGAAAGTCAGCTGGACTATCACGAATTAGTTGCAACGTCGTCAGAGAGGGAAGCACACGAATTCTGAAAGAATCACTTAAATATGATGAGTTCGACTCCTGCAATGCTGCATAAGGTACTAGGCAAAATGGCCCCTCAGGAACGAATGTGATCTCGTCGTTGCCTTTGATCAGGTCAGCAATAGGAGAAACGATGATTTCATGCAGCTTCTTTAAAGCACTTGATTGGGAGTGCCTCACATCAACTCGGATCACACCATTGGCCATTTCCTCTTCTGTCGGCGAATCAAGCAGAGGATTTTCGATTGCAACAGTATCTCTTGCACCGATCTCCTTAAGCGCAGATTTGTTCAGTAGCTGGATGAAAAATTTCAATTCATTCTCATATTTATAATTGTTCACGTGTACTTCTCTCATCTGGATATGATTTTCACTGAGGCAAACCCAGAAGTAAACGCATGGTCCATTAATAGCTATGAAAACTGTGCTCAATGGAACCCACCTTAGAGAAATGCGGGATGCGCTGTGCGTTAAAGAATCTCCAGGCGGATATTTTGTGTCCATGAGATCTCTCAGAGCTTGAGCACGTCCTTTCTCTGCGGAAAAAAGAGCCTTTACAACTTGACCGTGTTTGAGATTTATACGCCACAAACCTTTATATGCACTTTGGTGCTCATTACGATAAGAAATCTTCCACTGATCGTTGAGTTGAAGACTGGCCCTGATATCATCATACAATTCTACACTCGAGTAATAACAGTCAAAGGCTATCATAAGATTTCCTTGGCACTCAAAACTGCTTCCAAGAGAACAGAGTGAGCACGCCTCTCCAGTCTTATCTCCCACTTCTTTGGATATTTCTAGGTGACGTTGATAACACACAATAGCTGTTTTCAACTCTCTTTGACCGAGATGAATCCTGCCTAGTAGGCAATAACTGATTCCCTCTCCAGCCTTGTCTCCCACTTCTTTAGCAATTTCTAGATGACGTTGATGGTACTCGATGGCTGTTTTGAACTGTCCTAGACCAAGATAAGCATTGCCAAGGCTGCCATAACTCTTTCCTTCTCCAGCCCTGTCTCCCACTTCTTTGGCAATTTCTAGAAGACGTTGATGGCAATCGATTGCTTTTTTGAACTGTCGTAGACCTTGATAAGCGTTGCCGAGATTGCCATAACTGATTCCCTCTCTGGCCTTGTCTCCCACTTCTTTAGCAATTTCTAGATTACGTTGATGGTACTCGATTGCTGTTTGGTACTGTCCTAGAGCATTATAAGCGTTGCCGAGATTGCCATAACTTCCTCCCTCTCCCGCTTTGTCTCCCACTTCTTTAGCAATTTCTAGATGACGTTGATGGTACTGGATGGCTGTTTTGAACTGTCCTAGACTATGATAAGCGTCGCCGAGATTGCCATAACTTCTTCCCTCTCCGGCCTTGTCTCCCACTTCTTTAGCAATTTCTAGATCACGTTGATGGTACTGGATGGCTGTTTTGAACTGTCCTAGACTACAATAAGCGACACCGAGATTGCCATAACTGATTCCCTCTCTGGCCTTGTTTCCCACTTCTTTAGCAATTTCTAGATCACGTTGATGGTACTGGATGGCTGTTTTGAACTGTCCTAGACCTTGATAAGCGGTTCCGAGATCGCCATAACTTCTTCCTTCTCCGGCCTTGTCTCCCACTTCTTTAGCAATTTCTAGATGACGTTGATGGTACTGGATGGCTGTTTTGAACTGTCCTAGACCTTGATAATCGTTGCCGAAATTGCCATAGCTTCTTCCCTCTCCGGCCTTGTCTCCCACTTCTTTAGCAATTTCTAGATGACGTTGATGGTACTGGATGGCTATTTTGAACTGTCCTAGACTGCGATAAGCGTTGCCGAGATTGCCATAACTGATTCCCTCTCCGGCCTTGTCTCCCACTTCTTTAGCAATTTCTAGATGACGTTGATGGTACTGGATGGCTGTTTTGAACTGTCCTAGACTACGATAAGCGACACCGAGATTGCAATAACTGATTCCCTCGCTGGCCTTGTTTCCCACTTCTTTAGCAATTTCTAGATGACGTTGATGGTACTGCATGGCTGTTTTGAACTGTCCTAGACCTTGATAAGCGTTGCCGAGATTGCCATAACTGATTCCCTCTCCGGCCTTGTCTCCCACTTCTTTAGCAATTTCTAGATCACGTTGATGGTACTGGATGGCTGTTTTGAACTGTCCTAGACAGTGATAATCGTTGCCGAGATTGCCATAACTGATTCCCTCTCCGGCCTTGTCTCCCACTTCTTTAGCAATTTCTAGATCACGTTGATGGTACTGGATGGCTGTTTTGAACTGTCCTAGACTACGATAAGCGACACCGAGATTGCAATAACTGATTCCCTAGCTGGCCTTGTCTCCCACTTCTTTAGCAATTTCTAGATCACGTTGATGGTACTGGATGGCTGTTTTGAACTGTCCTAGACTACGATAAGCGACGCCGAGATTGCAATAACTTCTTCCCTCTCCGGCCTTGTCTCCCACTTCTTTAGCAATTTCTAGATCACGTTGATGGTACTGGATGGCTGTTTTGAACTGTCCTAGACCTTGATAAGCGTTGCCGAGATTGCCATAACTGATTCCCTCTCCAGCCTTGTCTCCCACTTCTTTAGCAATTTCTAGATGACGTTGATGGTACTGGATGGCTGTTTTGAACTGTCCTAGACCTTGATAAGCGTTGCCGAGATTGCCATAACTTCTTCCCTCTTCGGCCTTGTCTCCCATTTCTTTAGCAATTTCTAGATGACGTTGATGGTACTGGATGGCTGTTTTGAACTGTCCTAGACCTTGATAAGCGTTGCCGAGATTGCCATAACTTCCTCCCTCTCCAGCCTTGTCTCCCACTTCTTTAGCAATTTCTAGATGACGTTGATGGTACTGGATGGCTGTTTTGAACTGTCCTAGACCTTGATAATCGTTGCCGAGATTGCCATAACTTCTTCCCTCTCCGGCCTTGTCTCCCACTTCTTTAGCAATTTCTAGATGACGTTGATGGTACTGGATGGCTATTTTGAACTGTCCTAGACTGCGATAAGCGTTGCCGAGATTGCCATAACTGATTCCCTCTCCGGCCTTGTCTCCCACTTCTTTAGCAATTTCTAGATGACGTTGATGGTACTGGATGGCTGTTTTGAACTGTCCTAGACTACGATAAGCGACACCGAGATTGCAATAACTGATTCCCTCTCTGGCCTTGTTTCCCACTTCTTTAGCAATTTCTAGATCACGTTGATGGTACTGGATGGCTGTTTTGAACTGTCCTAGACCTTGATAAGCGACGCCGAGATTGCAATAACTTCTTCCCTCTCCGGCCTTGTCTCCCACTTCTTTAGCAATTTCTAGATCACGTTGATGGTACTGGATGGCTGTTTTGAACTGTCCTAGACTGTAATAAGCGTTGCCGAGATTGCCATAACTGATTCCCTCTCCAGCCTTGTCTCCCACTTCTTTAGCAATTTCTAGATGACGTTGATGGTACTGGATGGCTGTTTTGAACTGTCCTAGACCTTGATAAGCGTTGCCGAGATTGCCATAACTTCTTCCCTCTCCGGCCTTGTCTCCCACTTCTTTAGCAATTTCTAGATGACGTTGATGGTACTGGATGGCTGTTTTGAACTGTCCTAGACTGTCATAAGCGTTGCCGAGATTGCCATGACAGGAGTTTGCTATGAGATTCAGGAAATAAGGATTAAAAAAGTGGTCATCACATGGAATTGCAACAAAGAAGCCTTGAAAAATTACAATTGCTCAAAATGTAACGAGGATAATTTCTTTGCTTAATTTTCATCCGCTACAGAGAGATTTATGTTTTTACGCTATTTTTCTGCAGTTTCTCAATTTTTTCTTTTGTTGATGTTATCTTGTAACGCTGCTTGACAGATTTATATGTTTGTCTGTATTCTTTGTTACCTTCCTCGAGACATGCTTCGCTATCCCTGAAAACATTAAGGTTTTAGTGTTAATGATTTAGTAATGAGTGATACGACCCTTGACGGATGATGCCAACTTTATAGTGGCAAACGAGCTCTAAGGTTAAAGGAGCTTAAAGCTATGAACAATAATAATAATAAAAAACAGGAAAGTTTTATATGGCCGAGAAAAAACGCCCCCTCTTCTCCGTAGAATTCTGAAATTGCGTAAAATTTCTGCCAATCATGTACTGAACAGCAAGGGACAAAAAGTTGTTAGCGTAAATACTTTTCTTTTGGCGGCCTCAACAAGTTACCCGTTTGCAAATTTTTCAATACTCAACTTTGACGGGTGTACGGGTATCAACAGCTCTCTCTTGCCGCAAATGACTTTCATATTAAAAATGACCAAATTTACAAGTATAATACTTTTAATGCGCAAATATCGTTCACTTTAGGTGCAAATTGTAGATGCATTGTTCATCTCCAAAACATTGTGCGTTGATTTACAAATAAGCACTTCTAAAACTCAGAATTCTGAGTTTTACGAAGCCTAGTAGGCCAATTTTGGCCCATTCTTTAACTTAGGGCTCTTCAAAGCTAAGTCGCGTTCAAATTTGTCGCTTCATTGCTTATGAATAATTAATGATGTCTATGCATTTTAGTCTGTCATTTTATTGGTAACAGAGTTTGAATTTGAAGAAAAAAATATTTTGCTGTCTCAAAACTCTTATTCACAGAACATAAGCAAATGTTGATGTAAATGAGAAAAAAAAAAACTTCACTGAGGCGTCTTTCAAACAACCTTACTTCACCTGGTTTTCTTACCTCTTAAAGGGTCATTGTATACATCCAGTTCAGAGTCACTTGACGTAACTTGACTTTCCTCTGTTGCTGAAATTACCGAGAAGATATTCAACTCTGTTAGTGATTACAACTATGTGCAATTACAACTAGCGTTCTAATACTGGTGTATTTTGTGGATTCCTTAAAAAAAAAACTTTAAAAAAGTCGAAGTGATCCAAAAATTGTGCACCAGAATTAAGATATACTTAATTAACAAACAGTAAAAAATTACAATAAAGAAGTCTCTCCCTGTTGCTTTTTCTTACCTGTAGCTGGAAACTCATTTTTCACCTCCAGTTCTTCTCCCGTTCTTGGGAGGTTGCTTTCTGCCATAGCTAGAAATAAAATCGAATCGATTGTACTGCGCTACATTGTTAAAAATAAAAAAGAGGAGACTCAGATAAAAGTAACGAAAAGAAAACGTTGTATACTTAATCATTGAGGAAGAATAAGAATCTCAAAATTTGCTCCGTCACGCTATTGTTATTGCGTGACAGCTCCAGCCAAAGTTTTGCGGGTTGTGTCAGGTTTGTTTTTTCAATTGTTTGTTTGTTTGTTAAAAATTATGCAATAAAAGACTCTTTCTCTCGTTCCTTCACTTTATCGCGTGTGGGGCTGTGAAAATTAGCGAAACTTATTCAAACCCGAAACACCTACGAGGGTTTGCTTAACCGTCACAAATTCTACCAACACTCCGCGAGCCTACTGCGTAAAGAAACACGTTCATCGACCCGTGCAAGTGAGTATAAAATTTCCTTCAAAGCTTCAAAAATTGGTGGACAAAGGTTTTCTTGAAAAATTCGTAAGTTCTAATAAAGAAAAAAAGAAATGCTCGTAGCCTTTTGAATACCTTGTATAATGTCGTAACTAAACAGTGTATTTTTGTTACATGAATAAAAGCTTTTCCAGCATTTTTGGCTATAACAGAGGTCACAGATTCGTCCTAAATGAAAACAAAACTCACAAGGAAACTCGCAGATTCATTTCGTAATTCCATGGTGCATGAAAATATTTTGTTATCATGTGATACATCCTTTGATCCTTTGCTGACGAAGCCTTCGTCTCGATCCTCAAAATGCAGTGAGGGAAATTGGCCGATGTACAGCCTTTTTAAGCTCACGCTTGTTCAGTAATGCACATGCATAGATGAGGTATAAGTTAAATTCGCGTGTTTATGACATCTTTTACACCTTCAAAGAGGTAATTCAATTCAAGCAGTTAAATTCGAATCCAGAGGCGAACATGTATCATCCTTTTTTATTCAAAAGATATTGATTGAAAATTTGAATCACATAGGAGCATCGAATACAGAGATCCGCTACACCGAAACTCAACTCGCTGGAAAACCAATTCAATTTCAAACATTTTAAAACAATTTTTCATCACAAGAACTATCTCCTTTAAAAAGAATTGAATTCAGCTTCAGGTAAAAAAAAAATTAAAAAAAGCCTTCATGGAAAGTAAAACTATCATGTTGATAAATTCGGACGACATGGATACCTTCGTATGTGAAGATATAAATGATACGCTAACAGCGTGCGGTGGAGATGTCACGTTTCGGAAACTGAAAAAATTCTGGTATTCCACCGACAACCAAATTACTGTTATTATTACTATATATCGCGAATGTTACGATATCAAAAAAAAGGGTAAGGATTTTGTTTTTTATTATCATTTTTTTTTAATTTCAACCTCGAGCTTTGTTTTAAACTTCGTTTGTTTTCGAGAGATAATAGCTGGTTTTGGTATTGACGAAAGCTATAATTATATGCAGCACGTTATCTAGCTCTATCACATGCTCATCACGCGCTTCTGCCGCATAATCATCACTTACAGTCAAACCTTTAACTCCTGTGATCTAATTGTTAATTCTCCCCTCTAGCTGCTACATGTTTCATTTCAAAGTAGATACAGAAATTTAGTGTTAGTTCAAAGATAACAAATTCTACCTGATAAAACTTTGAGTATTCTCATTGCCTGTTTGCTGGATAATGTATTGATATTACAGGGATAAATTACAAGTTATATCACTTTTAGGAATTTAAGGCTTTAGGAAATTGCATCATGTGCAGGCTATTTAACCACGAGGCAAATGCGAGAAACCAATGAAATATTTTCCTATCTGACATCAATAAACCGAAGAAATTCGACTGAAATTAAACTTGATTATTGTCAGCCGCAACGAAATTAAGATTACGATCTTTTTTTTTTATAAATAACAAGAGCTCTACAGCTCTAATCAGTTGCAGAATTAAAATTGTTTTGTACCTGTATCTGAATCCCTCTATTCTCCAGACGATGCCATTTGTTAATTCTACATGCCTGAAAATATCAAGAATAATATTTTGCTTTACAACAATTTCAATGAAAAAATGAAGGTAACATATCCACGAGTTTGAAAGATCTAACCTCGTCTGATTCCCAGTTTCGTGATCAAAATTGCCGTTCTTCTTTAAGAAAGTTATTGTGCTTGTTTTTTTGTTTGTTTGTTTTTTAATTCTTTTTATGATTACTTGTTTACATGTTTCTCCATGGCGATTAATTAGTTCTCTGATTTAAATTCAGCTCTTTTTCTTTTAGTGCAAAACATTCGCAATCCGCAATACCCCTTTTCTCCTCAGAGCAGGACATGTTACACTCTGCCATAACTGAATCGATAAGGATGAATTCACACCGTGAGTTATATTGTACCAACGCAATTTCTCTTCACGTGATCAACTCGATATATCCCTTGTTCAATATGATACACATTTGTTTTTGGTCATCTTCCCATTAGCGTTACAGTTCTCTCAAATTTTCATTTTCCGCTCTCGCCGTGACAAATTCATAAAGTTTCTAAGAATAATAACGGTAAGCTTTTTTCTTATAAATAACTCCCGCCAATTCTGCACTTAATATTTTTGCAGTCAAAAGCGTAGGTGTCCAGTGAAATCACCAGAGGGAGATACAAAGCTAAAGAAATCACATCAATAATATGTATTCTTTATGTAAATTTTTTCCAATTTTCTCATCTTTCGATTATAATATGCTACATATTTCTTCATTATTTTTCCTCACCTGAAGAGTACTTGCAATAAATTCAACTCCAAGAAAGTTCTTAAAGCGAATACCATAAGTACTCTTCCTAAAGAAATATCCGAGGAGGAGGAATTTTTTTAAATCTATGTACTCCATGCATCTTTGTGTACAGAAACCCTCTGTGTATCTTACAGGAATTTTATGAATAAATTGTTACTGAACCAGTTGTCTTTAAGTTGGAGGAGAAATCCGAGGCCCTAGTTCTCTGTTTCTTTGAGCTCCAGAATTGTCTGCTGAGTTTGCATGCAGTAAGCGAGGCCATAAATAATTGTATAATAGTTCATACAGACAAGTGACGCACTTGATACTGGAATCAGAAATGCCGCAGCTTCGTAAATCCCTCATGGGAAGATAAATAAGCTACCTCAAGGTCTGGTTTGTTTATCTACATGTCAGCATTGATATTTAACCTGTCGTTTAACCTGATCTGACGGATAGGGTTTTTTTTTCGGTCGTCGGTTAAAAATTTTCCTCTGTCACAAAAGAGCTTGAAATTCCCTTTCTATCATTATGAATTTTAAGACATGAAACTTTCGACATTGATGATCTAGGCAGTATGCAGGATGATCCTTTACGTATCCACTGTATGTCATGGCTCATTAACGAGAAATCTATAGCCATATGTGAGAACTTCTGATCGTAAAATCCGATGGTCTAAGATTCGATCCTGCGTTCGTGACGAGTAAATAAGATCGATATTTCTTTCATTCTTTTGTTTCATGTCTCAAATTATTTCTAGTTGTATCTATAGTCAATACCCGTTTATCTCATTCACTGCATTAGGTCGCTATTAACTTATTCTGTCCTCACCTTAACTCCTGTGAAAATGTGATTTACCCCACAAGTGTGTAACAAAACGATGCACTTGGTAACACCAGCAGTATTGAAGAAGCTGAATATGAACTCATCGAACTCGAAACAGAAAATCGTATATCATTGTTTATGCGACCCATGATTCTATTTTGGAGTTATGCTGTTTCACTATTTATACGCCGAGTTTGGATAGGGCCTCATATTACATTTTCAACTTCTCATTTTCATTAATCCCAAGTATAGCACAATGACATAAACATGCTATTTTTTTATTTATTTATTTTTTTGCTGATGTGATGGTCGTTAAACCATCGCCTGCTTAGGTTGATCGAAGGGCGCTGGACTGCCATACGAGAGGTCTTGAAAGGATTGGGGAGAATGAGAAACACACGTACTGAAAGCTTATGTGAAGGAAATTTTCTTACTAAAGATGCAGGCGAATTGTCGGCCTGGAAACTTTTTTAGGAAAAGTTGACCAATAGAGCTGTAATTTGCGAATACGACTAAAAATACAAGGAGAAATGAGATCTGATTTTCTTCGACTGGATAACGCGGAATTCTCGAAAATTGGGAAATTTCCGTCTGTTGGAATACAAATAGTAATGAATATTTTTGGTTTGCCTAATCGAAAAAATATCTAAAACGTGCTAGAAAATGATAAAAATACAAAGGTATTTGAACTTCCCAATTTCCCCTGGCTACTACCATCGTTGGATGGAAAGTGGAGGGGGTATAGAATTAAAAAAATAAAGGAATAAGTTTCGTGCGCTTCGAGAAAGGCGGTGCGGTGGATTATAGCTTTCATTTAGCTTATTATTTGTCAACAAATTAAACATTCCCATCCATAACTATCCAAACTGGCTAAGAGATGACTTCTTAACACTTAAATTAGAATTAAATGGAATGGCGTTGGTGTTCAAAATATAATAATAATAATAAGAAGAAGAAGAAGAAGAAGAAGAAGAAGAAGAAGAAGAAGAAGAAGAAGGAGAAGAAGGAGAAGAAGGAGAAGAAGGAGAAGAAGGAGAAGAAGGAGAAGAAGGAGAAGAAGGAGAAGAAGGAGAAGAAGGAGAAGAAGGAGAAGAAGGAGAAGAAGGAGAAGAAGGAGAAGAAGGAGAAGAAGGAGAAGAAGGAGAAGAAGGAGAAGAAGGAGAAGAAGGAGAAGAAGGAGAAGAAGGAGAAGAAGGAGAAGAAGGAGAAGAAGGAGAAGAAGGAGAAGAAGGAGAAGAAGGAGAAGAAGGAGAAGAAGGAGAAGAAGGAGAAGAAGGAGAAGAAGGAGAAGAAGGAGAAGAAGGAGAAGAAGGAGAAGAAGAAGAAGAAGAAGAAGAAGAAGAATGCAAAAGAAAAAAAAAGTAATGTAAAAAGCACTTTGAAATTACATCACCGAACTTTCACACTTTATCTAATCTGTTGTCAATGCTTTAAAAGTACAAAAAGCAATTCATTATTTATTCAGTCCCAAAGCCTCTTGCATTTTCGTTCAATCAACCATAAAAAGTGTAAGCCTCTCATCATGTGATATAATCTCATACCGTCCCGAATTTACCACAAAACCTTTTTTAGCTTAGCAATTTGCACAATATTTTTAAGATCTCACTAACGTGCTAAATAAACCTGGCAGTTCTTCTCATCATTGACAAAGGAGTCAGGTAAAATTTAATGATTTCAAGTACCAACTGAAAGGCAAGCTTTCCCAGGTACCAGTAACGCATATATTGATAATCATTAATAACTGAATTTCATATTACTTATAAACCAGGCATAGACAGCAATGTTTAGATGAAGTGCTATACTCAGTTTATTTATGTGATCAGTTGCACACTTGCCTATGGCTCCTATGACATTCTATTGGTACATATATATCACATAAATGCGCATGTACTTATACAAAGTCGTACCTGGACGCACACGAGAGAAATTATCTTCACTAAGTGTAACCATCACACAATACATGTAGGATGCTCACTGGTGAGAAAATTTAAGGTACCGTATTTATTCGCCTATAAGCCGAGCGATTTTTCCAACAAATTAAACTGAGAACAGGTAAATTCTCGCCAAGGTAGGGGGTTCGGCTTATAGCCGAGTATTTTCGCCAAAAAAAATTTACGGGTGCTTAACAAGATTCGAAATTTGACAACATGAAAAACTGGCCAATCAGAAGCGGTCATTCCCACGGTTTGTGTAAACATTGCAACACGATCTGACAGATATCAGCTGATCGTAATCTCTAGCGATCTAGAATGATCTATGTTTATTCATAACCTACTTTTTGGTTGCATGTTTCCCGAGAGGGAAGCTCCTTTTGTTTTCGGTTTATGTTAATTCATCTCAGTTAACGACACGCGTGGAGTACTTTGCAATTATTAGGTTTCGGCTTATAGCCGAATGTTTTGTGTTTATTTTTTATTTCAATGCAACAGCTGCTGACATGAAAAAGTTTAGGGTCTCGGCTTATAGCCGAGATCGGCTTATAGGCGAATAAATACGGTACATAACAAAGTGTGAATTAAATTTTCAGTGAAGTCATGCTCTTGTGCTAATTGTTGAAAAGGTTTGCAACACCCACCTTTCAGGTGATGATGATGGTGTTTGTGTTGCTGGAAATGACATGGATCTTTCACTCAGTTGTGATGAATCACTCTCAAACTGATCTTTTCCCTGGCTGAGGGACTCCACTGGATCAGCTTTCTCCTTCTTCTTTGTCTTCTTCTCCACACTTAGTGGTTCATAGCTGGTGTCATTGCCTGGTTTTGTTCTCACAAGCTCAAACAAACCATCTTCATCCATTTGTGATGTTCCACATTGCTTAGCCTAACAGATAAGCACCAAAGTAAAAAAAAAAACCCACAACAACAAAGAAACCATAGGTTTCTTGTCAAGTAATGTTTAGCTGCTCAAGGAAGCAAATATGACCTTACACCAATTTCAAAAAAGGACTCTTAACAAAGAAACACATGATGACCTCCACAGCAAGAAATATAAGTTTATGCTGCTGGGGAAAAAAAAAAAAAAACCTCTTTTAGAAGCCAACATCAAAATGGAATTAATTAATTTCTACCCTCCAGCTGGTAAAATTTTCATTTCTAGTTAGTTTGCCAATATGTTTATGTCCATGGTTCTTTTTTCCCCCTCTTTTGAGCTGTGAATTACAATGTACCATGGAAAGTTTGCTCTCTCCAGGATCCCACCTCACCACATCATAACTTGTTTTCTTGCTCACTGCTTGGGTAACTTTTCCATCAAATCTTTGAATCAAATCAGCTGCCTCCTTTCTCTCAATACTTTCCAAGATTCCCGTGATAATAAATGTCAGTCCATCCAAACAGTTTTCAGCTCCCTAAAAATTAAATTATCAAGTGCATGCATGATTCAAGATGTGCAGACAAATAATCAATTCTTCCCTTGAAGGCCTCTCAATACAGTCCAAACTGAAAAGTTCTAAATGGCAAAAAAGTTAAAGACTCAGTAGATAATTGTCTTGCACCTCTTAAAAATTTGAAAGGATGGAAAACAAACCATTAAGAGCTTTGAGAGATAATTGGAGGGCTCAGAGCAAGAACGATCCCTTGATTTTTCGGCCATTTTTGAAAGTGTTCAGAAGTAGTTGAATTTTGGCATGTGGACACTTTCAAAAATGGCCGAAAAATCAAGGGATCGTTCTTGCTCTGAGCCCTCCAATTGAATTACCAGAAGAAATCATCATGTAACTTCTTTCTAGAATATCCATACATTATCCAGCAAACAGGTACAGAGAACACTAAAACTTATCACGTACATATATTGTTATGATGATCTAACAACAAATTCTTGTTATTTATTTACAGGAAAATGCTTAGCAGCTAGAGGGGAGAATTAATAATCAGATCTTGGACTTTGAAACCTACCTGAGGGATTTCCTTTGAACCAAGTGCCCTAGGACCATCTCTTGCCATAAAACTACAGTAGCCAGACTTTTTCTTTTCCAATGAGGGTGGAATTTCAACCACATCCTCTGACTTTGACAGGAGTTGTCTTTGGTACTTCCTGAAAAGTCCATAGATAAAATTTGAAGTGAACAAAAGTTACATGTATATCAAACATTC